TCTCCAGCCAAAGGAAAAGCACAACAGTGTCCACTTCAATATTAACGACGTATTTAAATGTGTCCTTCAATTTACTTCTGTAAAAACTCTTTGAAACCGTCACCTGTAAAGATTAAAACATTTCAAGAACAGATTAGTTGCAGTTCTATATTTGTATTGGAAGAATATTCTATTCTCCAGGATTGACAAACATTTGAAGAATCGTCAATCGGATTCGAATCATTATTCAGTAAATGGCAATCATTATTTCAAGAAGTGGCAATCATACTTGAATCATTATTTCAAGAAGTGGCAATCACACTTAAATCATTATTTCAATAAGTGACAATAGTACTTGAATCATTATTTGAAGAAGTGGCAATCATATCTGAATCATTATTTTAGGATTTGCCACTTTGAATGAATGAATTTTGTATGAAACCTAATTTATGATATAGCCATAGTTTAGACTACATTACCATATTTTGGAACTGCTCAAAAATAACACATACGAGTCACAGCTAATGCAATAAAATAAATACAGACAAAACTTACATAGATGATGGAATTACATACCTTTATGTTAGGTTGCATTAGACCTTTAATATCTTTTAACGGTTTAGGAAACACAAAATTATAAGGTGACATTGTTACACCTTCCATGTGCAATGAAAATCTCAAGAAGATTTCATCCTTATTGTAATTTTTCAATCCTATTGACACTACTTTCTTAGCGTTTAGTAATTCCACATTAGTGGCAAAGTCTTGGGACTTGAATGGTGTCAAACTGTTCCAATTGAAGTAATCGACGGTTATTTTACCATCAATTATCGGTACAAGCCTGTCATTAATGGCATACACGTCCACAACATCTGTAAGTAGTAGGCGTGGTGATACCAACACTGGTGCGAAGAATGATTTAGCGAAGTAATGAAGCATTTTCCATTTGCCGCCGTATTCTGAAAATTGATAATAATTTAAAGATCAATACAGATTTAGTAGTCGTTTCTTTCTAAGGGAATCCCGTTTCAGATTTAGGGACATAAATTATTCTATAAAGAATAGTATGCTTAGTTCAACTGTAAAATTCACCATATTTACCTATACTTGACCAGGAGGGCGCTTGCCAGACGTCATTTAGTTGCCAATATAGAGCGCCCATCGTGTACCAATCTGCTTGACTTTGTCTATAGAATTCAGTCTCTGCTTTAATTGACATTGCTTGGGATATCTAAAAAAAACATAAAAATATATTCATTTGTAGACTTAAATAAAATTCAGATAGGGTCCCGCGCGTCCTCTAACGTACCTGACTGTAATAGACGAATTTTTCAAAATGTTTCGGGTCGTTTACATCCAATTTCAAATGCCTATTCATTTGATCAGTTATAAAATCATAACCGTTAGGACTGTGCTGTCTATGTTTGGAATAAGAACTGTTCACATGGTAATCTTCTATATTTTTTGTTGCAGTTGCCATTGTTTTTAAAGAAGGGAGAGATTGAAAGCCATATTCGGAAGCGAAACGAGTATCTGGGTATATATTTTTGTCCCAATTATCAGATAAATAATTATAGTAATGAGTATCACCGTAGTTAGAGTCATATGGGTTCTTTGCTATATACCCTTCTTGTTCAGATTCTAAACCATTTGATGGACTTGAAACGAGATAACGTCTACTAGGATCCCAGATCTCGACTATAGGCTTTATGGTATTAACATATAATTTTATATACTCGTCTCTGTATTTATTGAATTGTGATAGAGTATTGTACCAGTTGCCTCTGAGAGCAACTTCATTTTCATTATTGCCGGCCCAGACGGCAATGGACGGATGGTGTTGGAGACGGATAACTGTTTGTTCGATTTCAACCTTCACGTTACTGGAATAAAGACCATTTTACATTACAGTAGTAATTAATTACTAACTTAATAGAATTTAGCTTTAGGCTTGGTTCTTACTCAAGATATTTAGGATCTGTAGGATACATTGAACACGCGAAGAGGAAATCCTGCCAAATTAAGATACCCAATTGATCACACCGTTCATAGAAGTAATCGGATTCGTAGACACCTCCTCCCCAAACCCGTAGCATTGCCATGTGAGTGACGCGAGCGGCTGTTAATAATTCGTCCACTGAAAACAAAAAAGTATACAGCCCGTACTAACCTTATTTTACCTAGAAGAGTAAAATGCTTGTCCTATTACACACCTGTACTTTTGTCGTATCCAATTTCTGGAAGAATATTTGCAGGTATCCAATTAGATCCTTTCATAAATATTGGATAACCGTTAACTTTGAAATAAAACGTGAGCCCTTTCCCAGCCGTTGTGTTGCCTGAAATAATTGCAGAGTTACGACAATCTTACTTCTCACTAATATAATAAAATGCGAAAGTTTAGATGGATGGATGGTTGTTAGAGTTTGTAACCTAAAAGGCTGAATGGATTTTGATGAAATTTGGCATAGACGTAGAGCGTAGTTTGTATAATAGGCTGTCATATAGGCTACTCACTTTTTTTTTAATTACAGTGGAATCAATGTAAACAGTCTTTTCTCTCTGATTTATGATTACATCATTCTTCTCAAACTAGATTTTTATTCTTTGACGTTAGTTATTGATCTCTTTATGCTTACCCAAAATTTTTGAAGCATCTTCTTCAATTAGCTCCAATGATCGGAAACCGATTCTAATATGTTTGTTACTAACTTCATTGCCATTCTTAAAGGTGGTTAAAGAAACTCTGAGATCATACAATGGTTGATCACCAAAACCATTGGGCCACCAAAGACTGACAACGTTCTGAAAATTATAATCTTTTAAAAAACCTCTGTTACAATCGTCTTTTACTTTAGTCGATAAATATTCGACCACCATTAAAAAAGAATAATAAAGATTATCGTATTTATAAAAAAAACTTGTTATTAAGTTTCCTAAAAGTGTTCCAGGAAATTCACTGGTAAATAAAAATATACAAAAATAGTTTTAAAAGTTGTTGATAATAGATATGATTCGATTACCACACCATTAACCCTTGCCTTGAAGAAGGACCCCCGCAGGGTCTGAAAGTGGTCGGTGCCATCACCGAAAAAAGTAAACGTGAGTAAGAGCCGTAAAATAATAAGAAAAGTATAAATAATTCAAAGCTACTTTACTTACACTATGTACAGTCATGTTTAATTCAACTTCGGCAGTTCCATCATGTCTTGTCACTATGGCGATTTCTCTGGCAACTTTCAAAGACTGATGTCCTTCCACGAATAGCTCCGCACTGATGTATCCTTCTATACGCTTGGATCTGATCCCTGACTCCAAATGAGCGAGTATTTTCAAGTACCAATGCTGATCGTTTTGTTCTGTATGCGTTGTTAGAGAACGTATTATAGCTGTGTCGTAAAGTTCTATATATACTGGCTTCCTGAAAGATAAGTTTATAATAGCATTCTATCTGTGAACAAAAACTCCGTTTGGAATATTATAGATGACTAGCTGTTGCCAGCAACTTCGGACGCGTGAAATGACAAAAATGAAATCAGTGTATCCCTCAGGAACCGTAGCTCTTTCTGGGATAAAAAGCCTATAATATGCCCGTCTATGTCAGCTACCTTTCAGTGAAAGTCCGGTAAAAATCGGACCAGCTGTTTTTTTTAATGCGATTTTCGTTATTAGCAACGCAAATAAATCTTCCCGGAATCTGGAATTGTTCTTTTGATGTAACAAACAGACACTTCAATTTGATTATATATATAGATAGATATTAATAATTCGAAAACATTATTATTTACCCTTTAAGTGTCAAGGTCAGTGGTCAAGTTTGTGGCCTACTCAGTCGGTGACTTGAGTTTTGCAACTTATATGACGAAACCATATTGACTATCAATGTTATTTGATAAAGTGCATATATTAATTTTAAACATAAGCTTTAGAATCTTATCTTTAAGGCGCTGGAGAACTTACTTATAAAATAAATAAATAACTCTGCGTACACGTAAAGCCTATAAAATTGGTGCTTTCAAAGATTTTGAAATATGACTTCAACGTGCAACGTTTGAGTTTATCATCTTGAGACACCACTCCATGTCACCATAATTTAAAGCCACAAACATAATTTAACGCAGACGTTATAACATACCCCGCATCAATGCCAGGTCAGATTGCTTTGTGTTTAACGCTCCTTAGAGTTTCTTATAGAATAGATTTTAATTTGAAGTATGTAGCAGCAATGCAACCTTACCATAGTCCAACTGATGGGAACGCTGGTCCCCAGTCCCAGCTGAACGAAGCCTGCATCTTTCGAAGCTGATTCGCGTGACATTCACCATTGTATTCGTCAGGCACGCAGGCGGGCGCTGTGAAGTGTTTCGCGGAACGATTCTCAGCTGCGTATACAGGAGATTCAAATGTCACTTTTAATTCGTTCAAACCGATCTGAAAAGATTATGCATTACATATAGAGTGCAACAATCAGTCAGCAATAAGCAATCTGTATAACGATGATGGAAGGAATATTTTTCACATTTTAAAAGTAAATTACATACCTTTATGTGTTCTTTAACGTCAAAAACATATCTAACGAACATATTTTGTGTGGTCCCGATGGGAACATCATTCAGCTCAACAAACGCAATTGTATCAACTCCTTCGAACACCAAATTAGCCACTGGAAATCGGACATCTTTTTCGGAAACTGAAACATAAAGGATACATTAACGTGTCAAATATCTATACTAATGTAATAAAGAGGAAAGATTTGTATTTTTGTATGTATTGAAATAACTCAAAAATTACTTGGCTTGTTTTAAAAAAAAATACATCGTTAGAAAAGTTATCTATGAGTAACATAGGCTATATTTTTTAATTTCAAGAGGGCGAAGTGCGAGCAACAGCAGTCAAATAAAAAAACCGGTATTACAAATCTATTAAGAAAGTAATTTAATTTGAGGATCACACATATTTATAGTTTCCGAGATTTGAAAAAGGAATAGATATTGCACCAGGTATTCGGTGTACTCATACCTTGGAAATCTGCCTTATACGTCCATGTATCATACGCCACCCAACGCGTCTGGACATCATTGAAGCCGGATAGTATATCGCCGATGATACCAGCCCTCTGCAAGTCGGAGTACACCCCACCAGGGACTTTGGCAGATACCTGCGCTACAACACACCACCAAAATGTTTCTCATTACACGTTGCATGCTATTGCGACCTTCGGATCTGTTTTTTTTAATCTATTTTTTAAAACCTTACCCAAACTTTGTATAGTTAAGTAATTATTATAACTGTTAAATATCTAACATTTACTACGGCGAATTAAACAGAACATTGTTAATGTAAGATATCGTTCATTTTATTCGTATTTACCTACACTGCAAAATATACAAATTCTTAAAGATAATTACATTACAATTACAAATATGTACTTACTTTTATTATTGCTCAGGGTCCAATTAACACGTTTCGACGCGAGATCGATTCTTTTAACTTCACATTTTAAACTTGTAATTTGAATGGAGAATAAAATAAAACTTATTAAGAAAGCGTTCAGCATTGTTACTAACACTATTATTTAACCATAATTCTTATATTAGTTTGTTGACAAACGATATCTTGACCCGCGATACTTTAATCACATCATAACAAGTGGACAGCCGCCACTTGAATACTTGATAATAATGATGTACTTCACTTATCAACATTTTTATCGATAAAGTATAAAATATACACATCTCGCAAAGCTTCGATCTCTCGTTAACAAAATAACATTGTATATTACGATATTATCTGATATAACCAAGATAAATTAGGCTCTTGTTCTTACCTAAATTCTTAGCTTATTTATAAGCATTTTATCTACCCGCTGTACTTCAAGATAGTGAAATTGAAAACCTTCTAATTCTCAGTTTATTTCGAAAACAAAAACAAATGTTAAATCGTAAAACGTGCTGTAAACGTCCTACGACTTATAAATGTTGTGAATGAAATTTATTTAATCATTTTGTGTGCTGGCTAAACCAAATTCCTATCAATAAATTATGTCATCATCGAAATTTTCTATCGATATTACAACAAATTATCGATATTCACCAAAACCTTAGACATTGCGTAACATCCCTATGTTCCATTAATAACTGAATCACGTGACCGCAGCGGACCCACAACGGTTACTATACGACTACGAATTCCTCATATACCCGCCGTGCGCCAGCTAACTAGTGAAAATGTTTACATTATCCAATGTTCCTTTTTTTAAGCTAATTCAACAATTTCTGATACGAGGTTCATACATGGTCAATACATTTGGACAATTGCGTTGGCCAGTCATAGATTATATGGACTGACTGGCGTCAGTTAGCGTCCATATTGTGCCAGTACCAATTATTGTACTGACCAAGTGTGTATCGCGCATGACAAGGTCCGGAGTCTTTCTCCAAGCACAAAATGGTTTTTATTCTAAAACAAGCATTAGTTAATTATATTTAAGTCCAACTCTAAGCCAGGTAACAACTCTTTTAAAGACTTACTTTTTTTCTTTTTTGATTCATAGAATACGATTTCTAAAAAAAACATTCAGACGAATTTTGAATACCTACGTCTTTTGGGAAGTCAATCAAAAAAACAGTCCACAAATAAATTGCCTCCATTGTCTATTTCTTAATATCTTAATTATTTTGAATTGAGCAAATCGTAACATAAACATATAATATTTGGACCAGAACGAAATCTTAACTACAGCGGAAAGTAAAGAGTGATAAGACCGTACTTGAACAATTCAAACAGTATTTGAGTTTAATAACTAGAATTATAAATACAAACATGATTTTAGGATCTGCAATGTGTAATAATGAATGTAGGACGACTTTTCCTTGTCTCCTTCTACTTCTCCTTCCCCTACTATGAAAGTAAACCTTAGGAGAAGCTGGTTGTCTACTCTTCCTTATGTTACTTTCATAAACTACACAATTCACAACAAAAAGAACAAATACATTTAAGGTATAATCAAGAATGCAGTAAAAAAATAAAGTTAGCGAAATTGAAAACCTAAAAAAGACTGTACCTTAAATTCTTTATGCATGTTTAGATTTTTCATAAACTGTAATTATTGCTTTGACATTTCATTTATCAAATTCGATACAATTATTCTGTACTTTAAAAAAACTGTTATTATAAAATCTAGCAAGTCAAGCTAAGTATAAGATGGAGAAGATCAAACTTTACGAAGAATTTAAGTTAATTGAAAAAACTGAGGCTGAAGTGAACGGAGCTTGGAAAGGTAATAAGAGTGGGGTTTATAAGAGAAAATTGATTTACAATATCAAAAGTATTCAAGACATTCTAGCAAATAATAGGAATAAAATGACAGATAGTAGATTCGTGAAATCGATCAAGCCGTATGGTATATGAGATCATAAGAGAACTAAATTACATTTCATTGACTCTTGAACCAGTGGAACACTCGTGTGATATCTCACTGTCTTGATCGATGTCTTAATTCAAATACCATTTTCAGGTGCTCACTTGTTACTATTCTTCATGGCTTTTGTATTCGGATCTTTCTGCACGTTCTGCTTTCACATGATTATGTATCTCTTCGATGAGAAGTGCGTCCTCTTCCCGAAGCTACTCTCACTGACTTCTCTGAGGCACAACCTTATTTATGAATTCATTCCTGACGAAAAGATGGCGGAAAGTAAGATCTTGAGTTATTTTCATATCTAGTTTTTAAATACAGGTTACACAGTACTTTTGCATTTAAAATATTCAAACAAAAATTACTTAAATGACGAAACTATATTCAATTTACACTTTAACTTTCAAACGTTACAAAGTCTTTTTCGGATGTTTCTCAGTGCTGCCCGTGGATTTTCTGAGCACGCAATGGATAGACAAGAGTGCATGTTACCTGCCCACATATGTGCCGCTGGTCTCCGGGATCTTTGGTCTCGTGTGGACCACCATGTTCCTCATGTGCTCAGCTAGCAGCCGCACCCTTACCGGGTACGCAAAGACAAAAATCATATATTTTTGCCACCTCATCTAATACGAGGCATTTTGTGTAGTTGCGTAAACACAACTAGTCTTGCTTAATAAGAAAAAAAACTAGAAACAATCAGGTTGCTTAAACTAAAATATTATCACATTGCTATAAAATTTCACTAACCCAGTTTACAGAGACCATGGCGAGTGCTGCCTCCCGTTTTCGTGTTCTCTTTGCTGATGGGCAGCCTCTGTGTGTACGCATCCGCTGTCACCCATATGGGTCTCGATGAACTCTGTCTCAAGCTGGGCGAGATCACAGGAAGTACTACGTAAGTACAACTGCTATCTAGCGTCGTGCAGTAGGAACATATTAAGAGCTATTTTGTAGGTGCACGTACACAGTGAACGTGGCAACGTTAGCATATGAGCGTCGTATCCGCGGCGTATACCAGGCGACGCAGCTGACAGTGGCGGCAGCCTGGTTGCATACCGCCTGCTGGTTGCTGTCTGCGCTGCTGGCGCTCGTCCGTGTCATCCTCGCTGTAGATTTCCACCTCGTGCGCGTGACAACACACCTACAGGGTGATATCGACAAGATGCTGGTACGCACACTTTTAACTTACTAAAATTTAATAGTAGATCATAGAACTGAAAAAGACAGAAGAAATGAAGAAGTTTTTTCTGAAATTGTAAACAAAATAATGGAACTCAGACAATCTTTGTTAGTGATATTTTTGATTTCTTATAGCAACGATATGAGAGACACGTGCGAACAGTTACTCCCGATTTTAAGGATACCAAAGATTACAGTCTATCTTACAGCGTAACTAGAGTTCATTTCAAAAGGCCTTTTGGTTCTAGAAGCCCAGATGGCGAGACTTTATACATTTCCAAACGACCTCAATATAAATCTGAAACATCTTTAGTTGCCGAGGAACAAAGTAAGTTACATAGACGAACCGCATATAAAGGTATTTCTAAAGAAAAACATTTTATTGTTGATTTCCTCTACGATATATTAGACACGATAAATTTAAACCCATCGTTAAACGAATCATCTTCGAGCTTAGACGACGACGAGTCTGCCTCTTTAATTATTAGGCAATACGGACAAGAAAGGATAAAATCACAAGCTGAAGAACATCAATCACCTGGAGAATCTCAAGAATATTTATCTATAGACCTTCATGAAGAAGAAGAGATATTCAGTGAGATAAAAAGAAATATAAACCAATACTTGGATAAAACTTTAGACCAAATCCAATCCGAACGCCTTATTACTCCCTTTAGTGAAGAAAGTTTCGTCTCGGTACTGAATATTACACCAGATTTGCAAGAAATGTTAGATAAGAAAAAAATAGAGCAAAAACAAGAAGAAGTATCTGAAAAGATTGAAGTGGCTGATGATAACAAAAGAGAAGAGAAACAGGAAACTGAAGATCCAGGTACAAGCTCGGCTTTAGTTAACGAGCAAAAAGAAGAGGTAAAACCTAAGAAAAAAGAAAAACAAGATTAATCTATATTATTTTTTGAGTTTTAGTGACAATTTGTGTGCCAGTTTATGTTTTAAATAAATACTATTTCTTTATCTTAAAGTATAATCGTAACTTGTAATCAATTCCTTATACAATATCTTACGTCTAAGCCATACTGCGTATCTTAAGAGTGTAACATCTTAACAAACAGGAATAAAACAGCAAACACAATTACTATAAAAATCTATATTTACAATTCCCTTGACTACGAGTACAAGAATATCACAATAATTCAATTAATTATTAACAAAGAACAATAAACACTATTTAAACACCGAATTTAAAAGTGATATCGCTAATATATGAAGACTCTACATTGTATAGGACCGAAAATCAAGGCAACTAACTTATCCTCTTACTTAAAAAATATACAGACTTAACTTACTAATGATCGAATTAACGATGAAATGAGTAAACTAACGCCTGACAGTTTTCTAATACAAAATAACTATTCGTATAAAATAAATAAGCAAATTCCATTTTCACATCCCGTAATCGATATTTACTTTGTCTCGAAATTAAAATATATTTGTAACTCAACAAAAGAAAATAATCTTGTTCGGCTTCGCTATGTGTATGTGACAAAATTCCAACCGTTCCATCGTTTGATCAAATATTTGCTATAGAATTATGCAAATCTATTGCTTACGCTTCCAATTTCCTAAGCTTAATCCAAACTCCGCCATCAGGCACGCAGGCGAGCGCTGAGGCCTTGATCTTCATCGGCACCGACGTCCTCTCGTCCAATATCAACTCGTACTTGTGCAACAATTTGACGAGCGCGAGCTTCGACTCCACGTACCCTTGACGCAGACCTAAAATATTATTACATCAATTACAACTCAACGTCTCAAATATGCTAATAGAATTGTTAGGAATATATAAATAATCAGCTATATTCTAAAACCTTGTTAGTGTGTATTTCTGCAAATGGAACGGAAAAATATGCTGACAAGTAAATGATCATTTTTATTTTATGCTACAGTCATAATTATGTATTCAGGAAATACTTGTTGAAGTGCTTTTGCTTATCTAAAGTGTGTCATGTACAGTTCATGACAAACGGGAACAAAAAGTCCCAAGTAAGAATCTAGACGTGGCTTACGACTTTAGAGAGAAGTTAAATATTTATAATTTTACATACCTAGACATTTTCGGGGACCCTCACCGAACGGCATCCAATGGCAGGGGTGTCTTTTTGCTTTATTCTCCGGGGAAAATCTCTCTGGATCAAATTTGTCCGGTTCCGGGAATA